TTTAAACTATTTTTAGTATATGTATTAATATAAAAACATATAAAACTGTGTTCAGCAGTTTTAGACATGCAAACCTGACTATAGCCTTACCTAGCTATAGCACTTTATTATGTGTTTGGCTTGAATTCTATAAAGTTCAGTGTACTGCAGTCATTAAAAAGCATTTTAATGGAAACTAATATTCTCAGAAACACATGTCTGAACCGAAGTCCACACTCAGAGTAGCTGGTCAAAACTCAACATTTCCATTCCATTGAAATCCCAGTGTTGCAAAATCTCGTTTCCTTCTGAATCAGAATGAAAACAGAACATTTCAAAATTCTTAAGCTACCCCCCACCCTGGTCTCATAATATCTTTTAAATTATTTTAAATGCTTTCAAAGCATTTTCCATTCTTTTTTCAACGGGAAATGTTAAATTCTCCCTAATGCTTAGAGTACCATAATAACTGACAGTTGCAATGGCATTTGGGGGTGGGGGGCTTTATGTTGCTACATAGCCATACTTCAATAATGAACTATTTTGTCATCTTCTCATTATTCCGAATCCAATGGGGCCTTATTAGGGACTCAGTGTAATTAAAATAACAGCACGGTTACTGTGAGGGAGCAAACCAAACTCCAATTCAGACTAGGAAATTAAAAAAAAAAAAGATGAAAGATCATGCTTGACTGAGCCCATAATGAAGAGTTTGAGCTTTAAAATAGAGTATTAGGCACAGATGCTCAAAGGACAATGTGCTGACGGGAAGCCTTGAATGGGAAAGCTTTTTTGCATATGGTATTTTATGGAAGGATATAAAAATAGTATCCTCCTGTTTTACCTTACTCAAGAAAGTTTCCCATTAGATGTTACGGGTCCCCTCCCCTCCTTTTTTTCTAAAATAGTTTCTTTGCTCACAAGATTCTCTGCTCACATCTTCCATTGTGCTGCACTCGTCTGATTTGAAAATCATTACCAAAAAAGCATTTCAGAAGAAACTGGAGTTCAATGTTTCTTAAATGTCTTCCCCCGGGTGGTACAAAGATTTTTAGCCCAACAGCAGCATTTGTAAAGGATGCAACAGCAAACTTTGCTAGTGTCTTTCCTCAAGCAGTGCCATAAGCTAATGCAGATATTTGCTAAACAAAGCTACTAACAGAAATCCTTGTATTCGCCAGGATAGGTAACACTGCAAAGGGGAAAAAATGGAAGACTGCACACAAAAAAAAAAAAATTTAAAAAATTTGGAAGTATTTCCGTACTGTAGACTTTTACTTCATAGTGTTTCAAAGTTTCTCCAGCCTCATTTGTGGCTATACAGGTGTATCTTCCAGCGTTGTCCTCCTGTGCATTTAGAATCTGCAGGGTTCGACCACCTGCCAAAAGACAGCATTCTTTAATAGTATCTATGTTACACTCTTGCTTCCCAATTATCTAAATAGTTTCTGCAGCATGCTTTCAACCCTTTGGTCCAAATTCTGCCCTTAGATGAGCATGAAACACTGATTGCTTACCACCATGTATACCATGGAACAATTTGCAGGAGCGCTTTGGATCACAACCCCTGTTGCTTACAGATTCTTGGAAAATTTGTTAACATAGTTCTGTACAAGAAATTTCTTGAAGATATTTAGATAGGAAAAAGTGATTTAGGGTTCTGCACTTCATTCACAGAAAAAGGGAGAGGAGGCATAATCGGTAAAACTAAGCAAAAAGAGTCTATTCAACATACAGGGGTGGATGTGAGGCTCTGAACTGCCTTTCTGTTTCAGTGCAGTACTTCATATGAAGGAGGCCCTTAACTCCCTCTGCAGAATGGACAGAAGCAACAGCCACAGTATGAGAAGTGTAAACATGAACGAATCGGTGGGATTTAAGACTTCAGGTGGCCTCTACTTCGACATCCATCAATTTCCTTCCCATAGTATCCTGTTTGTTTACGATTTATATTGTCTGCATTCTCAGAGATAAGTCACTATTTAATTTGGCTGCAAGTCTTTTCAGACTGCATTCCTAGAAATTGTCCCCCCACATAGTAATTCGTCGCTATGAATATCGACTCCTTCCTTCTCTGAACACTTGCAGTTAACAATGCTAAAGTACTTGCTCATCTACATTACTTCACTGTTACCAGTGAAGCTTGTTCCTGTTTTCCACCTCCATAGATGTGCTAGGTGAGAGTTACTGCACGAATTAAAAATGGCAAACTACTAATGATCTAGAAAATGCCACCTCATTGTTTTTACTAATGTGCTGTTTATATCTCTCTCCGTCTAATTTCCACACTTAATTTCAAGTTATTTACATTCACTATTAACTCCAATGAACTCGTTTGCCATCATTTAGCTTTACAGAATAAAAGGATAAATACCTGCATACAAATAAAATACAAGCAAATAATCAGTTAATTGTGAAGCACTTAAAAAATATTGGAATGGGAAGTGCTACAGAACTACAAACATTGCACTTAATAGAAATATAACCTTTGATTTTTCAAAAAAAAAACTGTAACAGGAAACTAAACAATAAAATAATAAAGTGTTACGTTATTTCTCAGTAACAACAAAAAATTTACCTGGTAAAATACGGATATTTCTGTTTGATTCTAAAGGATTACCATCTTTCAGCCAGGTGATTGTAGCTGGAGGATACGAGTAAGCCTCACAAACCAGCGATGTTGGGCTGTTGAGGATAACAGCAACATCTTCTGCATTTCCATGGCCATCTGCACCCACAATGGTTGGAGACACTAGGAACAACAAAATCATTAACCAGAGGAAGGACCTCTATGAAAAGCCAATTTTCTGTCCCCTGTTCAGTCTAGGAATCTGGTTGCAGCCTTAACTAGC